GCTGCGGCTGGTCTCACTGCTAGGCTCGATTGATTGTCGTCTTGTCTCGCTTGTCCTGATCTCCTTCTGATGATCCTAACGTGGTTGCACTCGAGGTCCGCTGATGTACTGACTTTAGGTTGATGCCAAAATTCTTCTTTCAGGTGACCCCACACCTGACACCAAAAACGTGTAGTGATCTCTCACTAACGCTTATATTTGAGTGACCGACGTCTGTAGTTGGACCAGGTTGATCAAAAGGAATAAGGTTTTTCGAAGAGAGACAAAGGCACAATGTTAAATGAAGTATTTATTATGATTGAATTAAACTTGTTACTGGCCACTGTAAGGTTCATCATCATAATTTGTACTAGGCTGGCTACGTTCTATAAATAATTAAGAAAATTATATATATATAAAGATTTTATTTTTTATATTTATTGAATTATTATAGATTTACTTGAGTGAGATGCAGAATGGCCACTGTAAGGTTCATCATCATAATTTGTACTAGCTGGCTGGCTACGTTCTATAAATAATTAAGAAAATTATATATATAAAGATTTTATTTTTTATATTTATTGAATTATTTAATATTATGAGATCTTTACTTAAATTAGTTTGATAGTCAGTAGAAGTTTCACTATTGTAACTTAAAGTTTGACGGACATTTTCTAAAATGTTAAAATATAATTTAATTTTGGTTTTATTCTTATACCGATTATTGAATTATATATGTTATAACTTTACTTGAGTTGGTTTGATGACCATTAGAAGGTTCGTGATCATTAGGGCTAGGGACTTAATGACCTAAAAAACCTTAAAATATGCATGCATTTATGCACTAAAGAATCACTAAATATGCATTTAAAAAAAATATAATATATTTGTAATAAACTAATAACTTATAATTAATAAATTATAATAATAATATTTGTAGATATGACAGATAAATAGCTACATTTTATAATATAGATTAATTTGATTATTTTGATTTTTTGATTAATTAATTAATTTATTTTATTTTATTTTTTTTGACTTATGGGGAATCACGCCGTCTGTGTACCTATAAGTAACAATACAATAGCGATCGACAAGATAAACACAAATACTAATATAGTCCGCTATTGGGAGGTGTCCGTTAGTGGAGGTTTCACTGTATATTAAAATATTTATTATATCTCAGGTCCAGGAAATCTATGTATTATAAAGTCAAATAAATAATTGTCAAATATGCACATATAAAATGAAAAATGGTCAAATATGCACTTATAAATGAAAAATGGTCAAATATGCAAAATATGCAACTATAAATTTTAAATTTAAACTCGTATTGCTATGAAACAAATTTCTATAGTACTTAGCTATGTTTTTAATGATTATTTAAAAACATGCAAACTCCTAGAAGTCCCTAGCCCTAGTGATCATGTACTGGACTTTCAAAATGTTCTTAAATATTGAATTTAAATTAAATTATTAAGATTTAGTAATTTGTATAAAATAGATTTTTTTTACAGAAGAGTTTCAAAGAAATATTACCTTCATAGTCGTATGATACAGGTTTTTTCGCAGAGGATCTACTTTTTTTGGAAAACTGTTCAGTTCCAGAAGCCAACTTTTTTTGGTCTATATCTGATGTACCACTTGAAGGTGGTTTTGGTACAGCAGGTAATTTAGCTAATGTAATATTGGATGTTATATCTTCATCACTTGACGACAATGAACTTATTGTTCTTTTTCTGTGCCTTAAATTTCTGCTAAGCTTGTCTTGTTCGGCATCTGTTGCTAAATCAGTATGAGTTTCTGCTTTTTTGAGTTTCTTGAATGCAACATCAAAATCATCTGTAGATTATTTGACGTTAAATCAATGTAAAAATTATTAGTTTAAATTAAAAATAATTTAAATTATTACCAGAGCTTGCAAGTATTTGAGCTTCAAATACAGGCCAATTGTCATCAGGGCTAGCCATTTTTTTAACTGATTTTATGTAACTGTTGATCGTTTTAAATGTTCCTTGAGTAGGCCAATAACATTTTGATTTGTCCAAAAACCAATTTTTAGGGACAATATGGATGCTGTCATCGTCAAATTCAACAACACTCCATAATTTGTTTTCTTCAGACATTGCAGTTAGGCGTAGAAATTAGAACTAAATAATATATAAAAGTATTTACAAAATTAGTATTATTTTTTTTTCTGTATATAGGTTTTAAATGTTATATGATACATGTATTTGTGTGCATATATTTAAATTTAGAACAGTATTTACAATATAGTAAAAAATATAATGCAATAAGTATCAGAAAATTACATCTGCGAACAATCGCCATGTAAAATTGGAAACACAGCTAACTTATTACTACCAGCATAAATAGGTAAAGCCAGACACTTGTATTTTATTTCCAATATTGGCCAACTTTCGAGGTCACATTCTAAATCTTCAACTATCCAACAGTCAATTATTGAAGAATTACATGGTGTTTTATAAATATCTGTATACTTCAAATATTTTTTCCCTAAAACTGTCATACACTTAAGAACTTTATCAAATACAATATTGCTGACAACTATGATACTTTTATTGTTTAACATGTAATAGTTATCAGGACTTGTAATTTGTACACAGATATTTTTAATTTTAGCTTTTTTATATTGCTTATCAACATCAGAGTTATCAATGACCGGACCATCTGAATGTTTCTTTGTGTACTCATTTACTAATAAAGGATCAACAGGTTTTATAATATTATTAGATTCCTCAATGTACCTTCTATGAAGTTGTTGAAGTGGTCTATCAGATTTCCGCAACTGTCATTTTAGTAATCTTAGTTTATTTTCAAACGGAAAAGCGCTAAATTCATCCAAAGTCCCTAATAATTTGGCATCATTTACAATATGCAGCAATCCGTGGACATTATGAGAAACAAATTGTTTACCATATAACATTATGAATGTATCAATAAAATGTTGTAACAGTGCTTGGGCATAATCAGAATATTTTTGCAGAAGACTCTTATTACATAAAATACACACAGCCACATGGAGAGTCATAATATGATCTACAACTTGTGGATGTAAAATATCTTTTATAATTACTGGACAGGTATATAATAGGAACTGCCTCAATTCTGTGGCTTTCCATTTACTCAAAAATTCAATATTTTGGGGTTTTCGAGCAAAGTCATTAGTAATATGATGTCTTATGGATAATAATTTTGCAGTCAACAACAATATTTTAGCATGGGGTAAACACTAAACGTACAAAACTACAATCTGGTTTGCCTTCTAGCCACAATTTGATTATCTTCTTAAGAACACCGATGCATATTAAATGCATATAATCTAAACATATTCTTGTAATAGGTTGTTTAAAATTTGGAAATTGATTGTCCCTGGTGAAAGTCCTCATACTCATGTCGTAAGAATGCCTTATCAGTTCTTAAAATAATATTTGTAGTTTCTGGGAAACATATGCGACCATTTAAAAACTCACCTTCTTGAGTACATTTGGTGCAACTAAAATATCCTATATGACCCTTTATTTTGACCAGAAAAGATTTCGCCGGAGCATCACAAATAATGCTATGTATATACACTTTAAACAATGTATCATTTAATAAAAATATCTATCATTTCACTAACAAAATCTTGAAAAAAAATATTTGAATCATTTGGTTAAGTAAGACCATGATAAACACCTATCACAAATATGTATGAGCTCCCAGCTAAACAGCCCAAAATTGGCCATAACTGACTGTTGCTGCTGTCAGATAATGGCAAGCCATCAGTTGATATTTTGAGCCCAATGTTTGAATTGTTACAAGAAGAAAATGATACAATTTCCTTTTGCATTGCTTCTCTTAAGCCAACTCGTACACCAAAATGGCAATAATGCACAGGCTCTACACTTTTAATTAAAGAGGTTCTAGAAGTTTTTAATAATGTTCTTGAGTCTTTAGGAAGGAATTTACCACATTCTTCATCTCTAAGAATCACTAGTAGTCCATCTATAGCATTTAATTTAATTTTATATTTTATCGCCCAAGTTTTCAGTTTCTCATCAAAAGTTGCAGATTCACCGTTGGAGTTATCTAGATGTATGTAATTGTTTTTATCTTCAAGAGAATATGAATCAATAGATGTGGAATTTTGCAAATTATCAGATATTAAACAATGACTAACATCCAAAGCACGGTTATCTACACAGGTTGGCGCTCGGATCTTATCACGCGGTTATGAGCGGTGTATATTGGAACTAATAGCGCTAGTGGTTTGTGGCCATACTATTTCCACATAAAGCATTCAAGAATAATGAGTTTATTATATAAGATTCGCATTTATTTACAATTAATTATTATTTATTATTTTGATAACACTACCTAGGTGCATTGCTGTTTTTTTTTTTTCATTAATACGCGATTTACTCGAAAATCGTTCAACTTACAGCTAGAAAACAATAAAAATTAATTATTTTCGCATTTTAATTCACTTTATTAAAAATATTAAGTCATAATAGATTGTCATTAATAAGTTCGGCTTACAATTTATTAGAAACATAAACATTTATACCAATTAGTATCATTATAGTAATAATTATTTATTATTACCAAAGAAGCTTTAGTTGGTGAAATACAGCAATCTACTTCATTAATGATTATTTTATCCTGCAAACAAATATTATCAAATTAATAATACACCTATATAAATCATTAAATACAAAATACAATTGTTTTTGTTAGATGTTTTTGCACTAAATAAAAAATAGAAAATAAGAAATCTTGGGCCATTGGATTATTGAATTTAGATTTTCATATGCATTTAATTGTTTGAAAAGATTATTGTCAGCTACATTTTGAGCCAACTCTAAACATGTTGGTAAATCTTTATACGTTTTGGACACTGAATTATATTGACGAGGAGTAGGTGCTTTTCTTACTTTTTCTGAAATTGATAGGTATGCTGGTCCTGGGAAGATAGATGGAACAGCTCCTTTTTTTAATTGGATTCTCTTGTATGGAATCTATTCAGAATAAAAACAAAATAAACATTTTAGTGATATATACAAAATATAATATAACATAATTAATTTAATTTACAAATGTATAATTATTAATTGTATTATTCTGACTATTTTTTTTTAAAGTAATATACGAAAACTTAGTAAATTATAATTTATAATTTATGTTTAGGTATAAAATATATATTATAGTTAATATTTGACAAAGTTATACATGCAGGCCTTTACCTAATATGGTAAAGAGCTATAATAATATTACATTGTTATTTTATTGTAGCACCATCTACCTAGTAAATATTTATAAGAATGACATATGTTACCTGTACTGAACCAGAACGCCAATATCTTATTATGTCGTCTTCTTTAAAATGTTTGGAACAAACAAAATGGTTACTGTTCAAAACGAAATTTTTACGAGGAATCGCTCGTGCCCACTTTTTTCTGAGATCTTCCTCTTTGGGACATCGAAATTGATGAACTTTCTCTTCATTGCAGTTTTTGTAATAACCAGATTTACAAAATACCACGCAACATTTGACCATTTTAAAAAAAATGAATTAAGAAACAATTCACATAAAAGACGAAACACAAACTTGAAACTTCGGTCGGATTCGGGATTATTCACTATGCACGTAAGACGAGCGTTTGATAACGGTTAATCTACAGTGATAACTGACAACTGTGATTAAAATATTAAATAATAAATAGTAAGTCTTAAAAAATAAAAATTATATTACAAAGAATATATTATAGGTAGTATAATAATAAATAATAAGTAATTGTAAATAAGTGTGAATTATATAATAAACTCATTATTCTTTAATGCTTTATGTGGTAATAGTATGGCCACAAACCACTAGCGCTATTAGTTCCAATACACACCGCTCATGACCGAGATATTCTACATACAGCATTGCGCGAACGCCAACCTGTGTAGATAACCGTGATCCAAAGTACTATAATTATAATCGACACTTTCAGTAAAGTTAGTTCTAATAGAGGTATTCCTGCCTATGGTATCAGATTCATTGATAAAACGATCTTGATGACTATTAGGGACTACTGCAGGTTCATGATGACTAGTATTTGGTAAATGTGTAGCCAGATCTTCATCTGAACTATTATCATCTTCTTGCAGAGCTGCATTAAAGTCATTAGCTATCCTACGCCTATAAATGTCCTTTGACTTATACAACTAATATCTTTTGTTTTCCTCTTTGAAATTTTGTGCATTTTTCTGAAAAAAATATAGGTACCTATATACCCGGATATTACTGACCTAACCAACCATAATTATCTTAATAAAGTAAAATTTAACATTGCAGGTGGGGCTAGTTATACGGAATATATTTTTGTTTGTAGTACCTCTATATATATCATTGATAAATAATATATTATTACTAACAATATCAGTATCATTTAATTCCCAACAACCTACCTATGTAAATTATTTGACAATTTTAAATGCAAATTATCTCTGATACTATGCGTATAGTACAATTATATATAGAAATCTTATGTTAGTAATTATGAGTGCATAAAAAAATAGATAAAATATTAAGTATTAGGTTAGTATTAATATTATAGATTGTATGAAACACTTTTATATGAATATAGTTTTCAATACAATATTTATACCTAGGTAGTATTTTATAATATTATTGTTATTTATATAAAATTCAAGAACATACCTATATAGTATAAATATTGAAATTCCACGTGTTATGTTGAATATCCATTGTTCATATTTTGCACTGCGTATAATATATTATAGTTTTTGACCCGGCGGACTTGACGGGGATCTTCGAAGTCTACGATGAGACGATGCGACGGAAAACGACTACGTCCAATATTATAAAACAATAGTAACTATATATACGTCGGTACGATAACGGATGCGGAATTGCGGACTAGGTACGAATATTACGATGGTCTGGGCAGGTCCGGTCACGGCTCACGGAGAATAATCAGTGGTTGAATTGGGGGGGGACGCGGGGGGACGGAGTCCCACTTCTATTTAAAAAATATTTTAGCGTACCCCTTCTAATTTATTTTAATGGGACGCTGGGGAGTGGGGACGGGAATCATTTTAAAAATTGTACTAAATT